TTAGCCATAGACAAAGCCTTTCGCAAGCAAGGGGTTGATATACCCTTTCCACAGCGTACCGTGCATTTGGTGAAGGAAGAACCTGCCAAAGCCAGCAATTTAGGCTAGAATACGCACTTCTTACCGTTTGGCCCCATAGTTTAATGGATAAAACGGCCCCCTCCTAAGGGGCAGCTACAGGTTCGATTCCTGTTGGGGCCGCCAAATCAGCTTTTAACGTACCCTAACAAGCACAAATTCAAGTAATAAGTGCATAACCCACGAACTTTTCAGCATCCATGCCGGATAGCTCACGGAACACCTCGTAAGGTGTCTTGAAACCCAGGCATTTCCTTGGTCTGCTGTTTAATTTATGCACGGCCGCCAGTACCTGCTGAGTGGTCACATCCAACAGCCCCATCGTTTTGGGGAAGTATTGGCGTAACAGCCCGTTGGCATTCTCATTTTGTCCACGTTCCCACGAATGGTAAGGCTTGGCAAAATACGTCTTGCAGCCAATGGCTTTCGCCACTGCTTCATGGTTGGCAAATTCTTTCCCATTGTCGAAGGTCACTGTGTGTACCCACGTTTTGAAAGCTGATAGCAGCATGATAAGACCACCTGTCACCGCTTCTGCCGTTTTTCTGGTGACCGGGAGTGCGAGGCGTAACTTGGATTTACGTTCGTCCAACGTGACCAATACACCTTTGTGGCCTTTGCCAATCATGGTATCTGCTTCCCAGTCACCCAAGCGTTCACGCTGGTTCACCACGTCGGGGCGTTCATCAATCTCAACCCGATTGGGGATGCCTTTGACGCTACCTGTCTTGCCACCATAACGCTTGCGGTATTTCTTGGTGTAGCGGCGCAAATGCAGGTGCAGCTTGCCTTGCGACCGTTTGTCTTTCAGTACGTGCTGATAAATCGTTTCGGGGCAAACGGTGTCCTTGCCTTCTTCCTTGAGCCGTCCACTGATTTGTTCGGGACTCCAATCTTGCTCCAGCAGGGTATTGATTGTTCCCACCAATGCCACGCTCAGCTTGATGGCTTTGGGCTTTTCTTGATGCCGCTGTTTCGCTTTCTTGTCTGCCTGCTGGTAGCGATAGCCACGTAGCCCCGTGTTCCGTGACAATTCGCGGCTAAGTGTCGATTGGGAACGCCCAAGGTCATGCGCTATTCGGTTCAGCGAGTCTTTCTGTTTCAGTCGCTTTTCGATATAGTTCCTGTCCTCAAGGCTAAGGTGTGTGTAGGCCATAAAGTCTTCCCGTCAGTAGTGTGTTGGGGATGCTTTCTACCACACCTTGGCCTTGTTTGCCTTGGCTGGATTGCATTCCCGCTTGCTTTACGGGTTATGCACTTATGATACGAATTCACGTTGCGAACTGAATGTGATACATCCGTTTAGGGAAGGCAACGGGCGTACCCAACGTCTGTTTTTCGAGGCGATTGCGCTCAATGCGGGGTATGAGGTGGATTGGTCACAAGTGAACCGGGATGAATGGCTGGATGCCAACATCCGGGGGTATTTTGCTGATCTTGCGCCATTGCAGGCAATCTTTGCGCGGATTATCAGCAGTTTGTAGAGCCGATTCACTCTCCC